GCTGTGCATAATGCTAATTTAATTGACGAAGATAGCGATTCGTCAGAATTTGAAAATGAAATAAATGCGTTTAATGTGTGTCTTCGGAAAGAGAAAACTTTTCATCCACGTGTCAACTATTTCGAAGTGTACGATGAAGAAGAGTTTGTTAAACGATTTCGTTTAACGAAATCAACAGTAAAAAAAGTTTTAAACGAAATTGTCGRTCAGCTCAAAACCACTACTAACAGGTTAGTTAACTTATATACCCAATGTAATATTTTGTAACTATGTACAGTGTGCATTATATAAGTTAGTTCACAGTTTGTTTTGCGCACAGTTGTGCAATGAGTGCATAAAACATTTGGGTCCTTTCCTGTTATATGAGACACCTCATTTTGAGAAGTGTCACTGTCCAGTCATTTAACACTTTCAAAATTTTCTACTTTTCTWTTATCATAGACCAACTAATTATTTATTTTACCCAATCATGAATGATTATCTAAAGACTGTTCTTATCATCCGCTAATAATAAATAACATTATTTGTTTCAGAAATAATGCCATTTCTCCAATCACACAGTTGCTGCTTACACTGAGGTTTTTTGCTACTGGAAATTTTTTAATTACAGCTGGTGACTTCAGTGGTGTTAGCATAGCGGCGGCTGGACAGATTGTAAAACGAGTGAGCTACGCACTGGCTTCGATAAGTTATAAGTAAGTTATGTTAAATAGATTTTTTATAATATGTTATTTCCTGACTGTACAATACCTACATTGATCATACCGAAATTTATGCAGTTTCTGGATTATAGTAATGTAAACTAATTAAATTGGTATTATTTGTTTTTAAAGGTATATCAGATTACCTGAAACTTCCGAGGAGAAAATAAAGCTGAAGGTACAATTTTATAGATTTGCTCGGTTTCCAAAAGTTATAGGAGCTATAGATTGTACACATATTAAGGTACAATCTCCATCAACAGAATATGGTGAACTATACAGGAACAGAAAAGGATTTTTTTCCCTTAATGTYCAAGCATTGGTCAATGCCAATATGGAATTCATGGATATAGTAGCTCGTTGGCCAGGCTCTGCACATGACAGCAATATATTTTCGAATAGTAGGCTTAAGGCAAGGATGGAGCTCCCTGAATCTTCAGACTGCATAATTCTGGGAGACTCAGGCTATGCACTATCTCACTACTTAGGGCCGGTTCTACCAACTATAGATAAAGTATGAGTTAACTATCTATTAGATACCGTTATCCAAGACATTTATCTTATTGATAATCAATGTGTGTTCTACAAATCATATTTGTGTTATGAATTACTATCTATTGGATTGTTAACCTGTAGTTAAAATACATTTTTAATTTGTTATTCTTTCCATGATATTGTTGTATTATCAGTAATAAA